CTATAGGACAGTGTGTCCCTTCTGTCTGGGCTGTGATATGTGATAGAGCCTTAGAAGATTTCAGGTAATCAAGGCCAGGGGCTTTGGTACCTAAGAGGCTGCCTTCCTGAAGGGCATCTGAAGTCTGCCAGCCACCTGCCCCTTTTACGCTGCCCATGGGCATCAAGGAGACTCAACATACTGAGATGTGACTAGGAGGTATTTTTATCCCAGCTACTGCTTCTGTGGACTGTGAGTCCTCTCTTCCCCCACCTGGAAATTACCAGGTTAAGTCCTGGGTGACAGGACTGAGGGCCGGAAAACCAAGGGAAGGAAAACCAGAAAATAGCGGCAAGCCACCAAGTGATCCAGATGGTGGAGATGAGCGCTTTAAAGTAGGTAGAGCCGGGCGTGGTGGCAGCACCTGTGGTCCCAGCTACCTGGGAGGCTGAGGCGGGAGGATTATTTGAGCTGGGGAGGTGGAGGCTGCAGTGAGCTGTGATTGTGCCTCAAAAACAAAACAAAACAAAACAAAACAAAACAAAACAAAAACACGCCCGAACAACACTAATCCTCTAGCATTACTGATAAGAAAAAATAGAGGAGAAACAAACTGCCAATATTTGGAAGGAAGAAGAGAGCATCACAGCAAATCTTGCAGGTAACAAAATAACAATAAGGTGACCATTGGAGAAACTTTATGCCAATAAAATTGAAAATTTAGATAAAATGGACAAAATCCCAAAAAAACACAAACACAAATTACCAAAAACAAATGAAATGATACAAAAAATCTGGGCTGGGCGCGGTGGCTCACGCCTGTAATCCCGGCACTTTGGGAGGCTGAGACAGGCGGATCATGAGGTCAGGAGATCGAGACCATCCTGCCCAACATGGTGAAACCCTGTCTGGTGAAATCCTGTCTTTACTAAAAATATAAAAAAATTAGCCAGGCCTGGTGGCGGCCTGGAGGCTGAGGCAGGAGAATCACTTGAACCTGGACGGCGGAGGTTGCAGGGAGCCGAGATCGTGCCACTGCACTCCAGACTGGCAACAGAGCAAGACTCCATCCCCCCCCCAAAAAAACTGAATAATCCTCTATCTATTAAAGCAATGCCATCTGTAATTAAATAGCCTCACCATACGCAAAAAAATCTTCCAGGATCAAGATAGCTTTAAGAGCAAATTAAAAGGAAGAAATCACACTGATTTTACAGGAAATTTTCCAGAAAATTAAAAACAGCCATGTCCCAACTCGTTTTTAGGACAGAATAACCTTGATAAAAGATCTGACAAATAGGAAAAAGGAAAATTTCAGGCCAGTCTTTCCCATAAATATAGATGCAAAATCCTAGACTAAATATTAGTAAGTCCAATTTGGCAATATGTTTTAAAGAATCATGACCAAATTCACTGCATTCCAACAACGCAACAATGGTTTAATAGGTAAAAACCAATATATGGCATTCCCATTCCCACCTTATTAACATAAAGGAAAACAAGCATGCTATCATTTCAGCAGATACAGAAAAAGAAGATGGTAAGATTTTACAACTTACATGATGTTTTTTGAGACAGGGTCTAGCTTTGTGGCCTAGGCTGGAGTGCAGTGGCATGATCATGGCTCACTACAACCCTAAACTCCTGGGCTCAAGTGATCCTCCCCTCTACAGTCTCTTGAGTAGCTGGGACCACAGGCACACGACACTACCCCCAGCTTATTTATTAAATTTTCTGTAGAGTTGGGGTCTCCCTATGTTGCTCAGGCTGGTCTCAAATTCCTGGGCTCAAGTGAGCCTCCTGCCTCAGATTCCCAAAGTGCTGGAATTACAGACGTAAGCCACCATGCCCGGCCTTCATTATCATGGTTTAAAAAACACAAAAAAAAAAAAAAAATCTCGCTGCTCGAGTAGACCGGGAACATCTTAAAATATAAGAGAATAGCCTCCACAAAACTTACAAGGAACAACCTGTTTAAGTAAAATACAGTTGTCCTTCGTATCCTCAGGGGGTTGGTCCAGGACCTTCCCCTGCAGATTAGCAAAATTCCTTGATGTCTCAAGTCTGGATATAAAATAGCAGACGCGCTTGCATTAACCTATGCCTGCCAGCCTCTGCACACTTCAGACATCTCTATGATTACTTTGTATAT